TGGGCTGTGATTTTGAGTTTTTCCGACGAAAGGTTATCGCTTTGGACACCCACGCGCTGTCGGCGCGTGTGGCAGCACGTGGGCACCGTAGAAAAAGGGCATTGTGCATTATCCGGGTTTGATAGGTTTGAACCGTTGGATGGTCTTGAATTTATTGTATGTAAATCTGGACATCCTTAGGATCGGGTAGGAATCGACGGAATGTAAAACGGAGTCCCGGATACTCCGAAAATGCCAACCCTAGGGCTAGGTTTACAGTAACCGTCTTATCGTGCCATCGTGAGTAATCCGACAGTCCGATCTGGACCAAACTTGTCGGACGTGTGTCCTAAGCTTTGTAGAACACATAGGAATTTTTGGATCGGAGTTTGGAGGTCGTGGGCCCTGTGGGCCCGTTTGACAAAGTTTGGATAGTTTGACCCTTGGTTGACCGTGAGTCTTCCAGGGTAATTTCACCTTCCCAAGTTAATTAAAATGACCGTAGAGACAAGTCTTGATCATTAGTTGAGTATGTTGCTTATGTGGGATTAGGATATTAATTTATTGTTTTTAATTAGGGGACTATTGGATGCTATTTTATGGTTGAGGTTTTTGGAATATTAGGAATATATATATATATATATATTATAAAGATGTTTGATTACACTGTAAGTACCATCCTGTGATTGTTAGGTCCCACATGACGTACGATTTTTTGCGTATGGACAGACCCCATACGTGGTATTGGATTTTCCGGCATATGGGGAGTATGCGATATGAGATGAGAGGTCACACGTGGCGTAGGATTTTCCGACGTGTTGACAGACCCCATACGTGGCGTTGGATGTTCCGGCGTATGGGGAGATTATGTGATATGATGGCTCGGTCCCACGTGGCGTAGGATTTTTCGACGTGTGGACAGACCCCATACGTGGCGTTGGATTTTCCGGCGTATGGGGAGATTATGTAATATGAGATGATAGGTCACACGTAGCGTAGGATTTTTCGGCGTGTTGACAGACTTCATACGTGGCATTGGATGTTCCAGCGTATGGGGAGATTATGTGATATGATGGCTAGGTCCCACGTGGCATAGGATTTTCCAGCTTGTGGACAAACCCCATACGTGGCGTTGGATTTTCTGGCATATGGGGAGTATGTGATATGAGATGAGAGCTCACACTTGGCGTAGGATCTTCCGGCGTGTTGACAGACCCCATACGTGGCGTTGGATGTCCCGATGTATGGGGAGATTATGTGATTATTTAGAAAGAGGTTTGAAAATTATTGTGTTTAGTAAGTTGAGATTTAAATTAAAAAGGGAATGGAGTAAATTCTAGAATGTATGAATTTGTAAGGCTGTAATGGGTTGTATGTTATTGGAAACAGAATTGTTGTTGAAAGAACTACGTGTGGCTTGATCCCTTTGTAAGGGTACGTAGGCAGCCTAAGGTAGTGCCTAGGTGCAGCCGCGGACTAAACTTTACTCATGTTGTTTTATTTAGTGAGGTGCTGACCTTGTCGTTGGTCCTAAAACTCGGATGGAACGAGGCTTGATTGATTAAATATATATTATTCAATTAGACTGAGTGAATGTTGTAAATTTATGGATGTGATCAAGTTAGGTTTAAAACTCATTTTAGATTGTTGTATGATTTAGGTTGAGGCCTTAAACTACTTGTGATTGTGTTAGGAGGTTAAATCCTCGCATGCTGGAATTGGGAAAGTTAGTTGAGGTAAGCTGCGTTTGGTATTCATAATTATTATTTGAGTTTATTAATTGCCTTGCTTAAAGCATTATTTGATTTAAGGGCTTTGTTGGTAGTTTGGTATCGTTTCGGATTGTTTGAAGGTCGAAGGCCGATTATTATGAATTGCATGAAACTACATTGTGCATGCTACCAGTTGGGATATCAAATGTGTTTTGTGCAGGTTGGAATTTTGGGAAATGTTCAAATTACAGAGGAGTCTCTACCGAAATTTCGGTAGAAAGTCTTGTGCCCTTATTCCTTTTTGGAAAAAGGAGGTTATAGTTTTAGTGAGTGGGCCCGACATCGGGGCGATGTCGGGAATTCCACAGGATTCGTCTCGGATTCCGAGGAATTCAGGGCGGGTTCTGTCATTTTTTTTATCCTTTATTTATTTATTACCTACGTTTCTCAAAATCGCATGTGGAAACTAAGGGCTTTTCATTAATGGGCCCATTTTAGCACGATATATTATATAATTACTCGTATATAGTTTATTTGGAGGGAAAACCTTTATATGGGTAATTGTATAATATATAGTATAGTTGTATTCCATAAAAATAGGTATTTATTCACCATGCGAGAGGCTTTTAAAAAAAAATTAAAAATTTATTTTGGAATTAAAAAATATAATGGGTAGTTGTATTCCATAAAAATAGGATTCATTATCTGATTTTTCTTTTATTTTATTTTTTAAAATTTAATATAAAAAAATGTAAATTTACCATATTATTCTCATTTAATTAATAATTTCAGTTCTTAATGTTTGTATTAACCAAGAGCATTTTATACTATTTTGAATGTTTTACCACCTCTGCCTTTTGCTTTATATATATACTGGCCTCTCTGCACGCGCTTTCGTGCCTGCGAGAGGCTTGTTTTAAAAAAATTTAGAGTTATTTTAGAATTAAAAAAAATAATAGGTAGTTGTGTTTCATAAAAATAAGATTCATTATCTGATTTTTCTTTTAATTTTTTTAAATATGAAAAATTGAATTTATCATATTATTCTCGTTTAATTAATAATTTCAATTCTTAATATTTACATTTACTAAGAACATTTTCTAATATTTTGAATGTTTCACCATTTTTTACTATTTGCTCTATACATATAGATATAGAGTAATGCTACACTTACCACATTAGTATCCCACATTTCTATACCACATGATGTGGCATGTCCATATCATATGACATATCAATTAAATGAATGAAGTGTATTTTAATAAATAAAATTAGAAAAACAGAAACTAGTATTTTACATGATGTGGTATGTACACATCAGCCGCCACATCATGTGATATAAAATTGTGGTATAAAAATATGATAAGACTAGTATTATTCATAGATATATATGTCGAATTATTACGACAATAAAATTACAACGGAAAAATTGACAACATTGAATTACTGGGACGAAAGTGAAAAAAGGGGCCAAATGGGACTATTTGCCGAAAAAACCCATGGTAAGATTCTCATACCAGCACACTTTCCAGCGCCCCAAACCCAAGTGCACTTTCTCTCTCACAGTCAGTCAGGCTCAGGAGGAATGGGCTTATTGCTAAAAACTTATTAAAGTAAACCCTTATTTAGATTTGGTTGTTTTTAGTTAAAGTTTCGGCATTCTTTTGTGGCATATATAAATTATATGAGAAAGTTCATTGCTGCAAATTAGTTGTTTAATTTTGTAGTACAAAGCAGTGACACAGGGACACAAATCAAAAATATATAGAAACCCAAATAAATTGACAAATGTTATCTATCAAACCTAACCTTACATCCTCATCTTCCGACCAAAAAAAAAACCCTACATCCTCATCTACCCTAGGAATTGAAACATTAACACCCGTACGTACAATAATATTAAGAAACCTGTATAAAGTACAAAACCCAAAACACATAAGACCATCTCCAACCATGTTGGGGCTAAACTCAAATTTCCACCCTCTAAAATACAACTATTCATGTATTTTCAGGACTCAATTTTTTTTTCCTCTAACCTTGCAGACTCATAATTTGAGTCCGCAACTTTATTAAATTGTTTAAGAATGATTAACCCCTAAATTTTTTTTCTCATTAATTTTTCTTGACATTATTTTTGTTTCAACATTCGTGATTTAATTTTCTAAACATTTTAACCTAAAAAAATTAAAATTCCAAAACATAATAGATTTTCACTTAAAAATAAAAATAAGTACAACACTATATATGTTTAAATTATGTGAGCGTGTTTAAATTATGTTGTGTGTTTAAATTATGAAAATTTGTATAAAAGTGGTTGTTGCTCTATTGTTAATTGACACAAATTAATGTGCTAAGAATGTGTCAAGTATAAAATATAATGAAAAAATATAACAAAGAGAGAAAGGAAAACAAAGGGAGAAAAAAAAAAGATTTTTGGTTGACACAAATTATAGCTGTTGGAATATTAAAAAAATTATGAAAATTATATAATAAAAAAATAGAGCATAGCATAATTTTGAAAAAGTAGCGGTTAGGATTCAATCAAATGGCCAGCTTGTTGCAAAACTCACGTGGGGCGAACACTTTTTGTTGTTCACGTGGTCTTCCAAGGTAAAAAACAAAGAAGAAAAAGTAGATTTTGGGCCCACAAACATTATCAGTCGAGGCAATAGTTTGGGTGGAATTCCAGTCCGAATTTTAGATTTCTCAAATTTCCACCCCCCAAAATACATGGGTTGGAGATGGTTTTTGGAAGCTAAACTCAAAATTTGAGTTTCCTGGGGTTGGACATAGTCTAACACAACAGTGGTGAACTCAAGCTTCGAAAGACGAAGAGTAGAAGCACTGCTTAGAAACACCACTTCAGAAGAAGGCGAGCTCCATAAGAGCATCCACAATCATGCTCTCTATTTTTTTTATTTAAATTTTAGTCAAAAACATATAAAAGTTAGTTTAGGAGCTCTCTATAAAATTTAAACTCCAATCGTGCTCTCTAGTTTAGGGAGTCATAAATGCTATAACTCTTTTTTAATTGGTCCGTCTTTATTGAAAAATAATATAAAAAATAATAAACATTAATTAAATGTTTGAAATACTCATTAAATAAAATAGCATTAAATTATCATTAAATAAAATAGCATTAAATTATAGGGAGTCACTGGGAGTCATTTCTCTCTCCTCAGATTTGGGAGCTCTTAGATGTCTCCCTATTTTAGGAGGTAGATAAGGAGTATGGTTGGAGTTGTATTTTTCCAAATCCTTCCTAAAATTTGTCTAAGAATGTAGTTTAGGGGGCCCATTGTGGATGCTCTAAGGTGCCGGGCTTGGGCTTGCAAACGAGCCATCTGTAGAAATAGGCAACGTGACGTTGATGTCGACATTTTGTCCGGCTTGGCAATGGCCAGGAGTACCACAGATAAAGTAAAAATGGCCGGGCCTATTAAGGGTGACTGTCAGAGCCAGAGGTGTAGGTTGCCATAGCAGAGGTTGTGTTGCAAGATTGGAAATCTTGGTTGGTAACTTGCATCACGTTATGGAATTGATTGTTGCAAGTAAATATGAGGGTGTCGTTGACATGGAAGTCTTTTGTTGAAGCCCACTCATTGTAATCAACATGGCCTCTAGAAGTCCACCCATTGGAGTCACCGACTCTATAAACAGCACCAAAACAAACACCATAGAGAGCCATTGTCACCAAAATATCAGTGTAATATTTTTCATCAAAGCCATGACTAGAAAACAAAGGGGGGCTAATTAAACAGCACAAAGAGATCAAGTGATAGCTGACTGAAATTTTGCGTGAAAGGTAGTGTGTGTGGCCTTGCATATAAATACCTTGTGTTTAAGCCCATTTCTAAATGGAAAAGGTTTCCAAATACTGGTAGGAAATATATGTACCGAATAGTTAACCAATTTCCTTAATTTCCTTTTTTCTTGGCCATTTTGGATTTCAACAAGTCTGTAGGCTTCTTGGTTGCAAGCCTAAAGCCCTTAATTTTCTACTAACAGACAAACTAAGAATTTGATTAAATTAAACAAATATCTAGGTATTTATGGGGAAGGTCAGTGGGCTATAGCTTTGTTGGTTAAGCTCTTCTATCTTTACCTATGCGGTTGGAGGTTCGAAAGCACCAGGCACCCAATGATAACTTGTGTAAACTCCCTTCCCCAATTGCTTGTACTAAAAAGGAGGAGTGAGGTTTTGGGGGGATAAAAAACACTATTTTTTGGTAGAGTGGGTCCAAAGGCCCAAAAGAACTACATGCAGGCTCAAATTAAACACACTAGGTATCGATTGCACAATTTATATATTTTTCGATGAGGCTATATAATATCTTATGTTGCACAAATTATTGAAGAAGCAAAATCTTGGTTCCAACAAATTATTAAGAAATTTCACAGCACTAAACAGGCAACTGAAATGCAAAGTAAAAGGAACCAAAGAAAAGAAGAAATAAAGCTGAGAAGAATACAATCCATTAAGGATGGTCATTAGCACAAATTTCAGGAGTAAATTGGAGCGCATTGGTGTTGAGATCGTAGATGAGCCTCATATTTTGCTGATGCCATGCTCCTAGTATAGATTTCCCATTTCCTGGCATCATTGCTACACAAAAATAACCTGCCTCATGATTATAAAAGTTCACATATCTTGGATCAACAACATAATTAGAACCCTCAAAATGGTATGTCATGGGGGCAAATTGAGTAAACTGCGGCGTATAGCTGTAACATAACTGAAACCCTTCAGGCACTCGACCAATTCTTGTAAGATGGAGAGAATCATAATAGTTTTGAAATGCCCCCATAACCTCCCGGTAAGTGTTACGTCCATTGGCATTTTGATCAAGTTGAGAGATTAGGGCACCTGAATCAATGAAGAAACCACGGGTACCACTTTGACTAAATGCAAAGGTACCCGGTGGAAACCCTAACTTGCGTGATCCAACACTTATATCCAGAAGATATAAGTTGTAAAATGGAGATCCTGGTCGTGTTGCAAAAGGAGTTGTGCTAATAGCTCCAGATGGTGCGGGTATATCATCCCCAAACCTTACCACACTAGGAGCCATTTGTGCTTCAGTAAAAGGAACGAAGCAATATGAGAAACGTCTTTGGGTTTGATCAGCCAACTGGGACAACAGTGAATCAGGGTTCAAGCTTAACCCCAACACCCCCGAAATGACACCATTTTTCGCAAATTGAATGTTTCGATTGTCGTTGGAACAACCAAAGACTATGTCAGCAATGCGTAGAGTGGTTGTGATGTTAAACGGAAATGTGAATATTTCAATAGAAGCTATACCTCTAGTCAATGCCCCACCACCATAATTGATGTTGTAGACACATTCATCGTTAACACATTGGTAAAGGGCCCGGGGACCTTGACAAAATGGGTGGTTGCAAGCAAGCTTTCGATAACTCCATGATTGTGTTGAATCGTAAATGGGAGTTGCTTGTAGGTAACAATTTTGACAAGGTTTACACTGCGTCCAAATTAGGCTGCCGCCGGTATCCAAAAGTAGGAACACAAGTGTGGCTGGGGATCCAATGCCGACTTGCACCATGTAGAAGAAGTTGTCACGAAGCAAAGTAAGACTTATATTGTCAAGTTCTACGGTGGAATTTGAAGATGGAATTAAGTCCAAATAGTGAGATCTGGCTTCGGAGAACTTGATCATTCTTTGAATTCGTTCAATTAGAGTGAGGTTTCCAGGGTATAAAGGAGATTCAGGAGCGTCTCTGGGGATGAGCTTGAGGCTGAAACCATTTGGTTTTGAATATGTTGGATGGAATGCAGAGATTGTGATGAGACAAAGAAAGAGAGTTATGTCAAGAACAGATGAGACTCTAGCCATTTTGGTTAATGCATGAGGCATTTGGGGACTACGATAGCTAGACTTATATAGTAATCTCCAAATGCATATATGTTAAGTCATCAAAGCACCATATACAGGCTGTTTTCTTTTTTTTTTGGTAAGTCATGTGTGAACAATATCATGGCCAATTTAATAACACATTTATTCCCGTACATGGAAATCTTTTTTCTCCTATTATTTATATAATGATTTTCCCATGTAAGTCTTTTTCTCCCTTTTATGTCTTTATGTGAACATTAAAAAAAATTGAAAAAATGGAAAAAAATTCACTAAATCCATAAAACATGCAGGAAAAAAACACAAGACAAAATTAACTTGGGGTTCATATCGACTTCTAAGAAAGGAATAAAACATGATAGAAAAAAAAATTCAAATATTGGTATAAAAGAGGATTGAGAAATTGGATTGCCATGCAAACTTGCTTACCAATTACCATGTATGGTGATGACTATTTACAGTGAATCAAGATAGAAAACTTAGCACAAATGTATAGCCCCAAACTGGGAGAAGAATTATTTTTTACATTGCTAGAGTTCGAGTAGAACCTATTTGGCATGAGACTTTGTGAAAATCATTTTCTACATCGGACGAAGCATATATTTCAACCAGAGTTAGGATTAATCATTCAAACAACCTACCAAAAGGTCAGATATGATGGAATTCATTAAATATAGTAAGGGAATAGATCCCCAAAAATCCAGTGTCATATAAATAAATTAAAGAACATTAATAGTGCTAACGGGCGTTTTATTTATTTATTTTAATACAAGTCTAAATTATAAAGGAGACGAGAGTTTCTCTCTCACACACACTATCAAGGTGTCATGGAGGTTTGAACTTGAGGCCACTACTCTACAAGTCAAGGCCCTTTTTCCATTGGGATAGACCCCTTTGGCATAGACATTTAGACATACATAAAAAGACATGTAATAATATTAGAGTGATACTATTTTCACCATCTGTCTTATTTCCCCGGCCGCCCACCTTAACTTAAAAAATTTAAAGACAAATTTACCCATTTGTAAAATGACCTTTAAGAACTTAGGGAAAAAAACCTAAACTCACATAACCCACCTATTCTACCGTTTGACAAAATGGAAATAAAAAAAGCATAAGACCCATTGTCTTCTTCTCCTCCCTCCAACAACACACATAGCGACACCATAACCACTGGAGGAACTATTAAGGGTATTTTAATAATTAAAGGGTGGAAATGCTTGAATTAATAATTAAATGGTATTTTAAGGATAATGGTTGGTGGAAAGATAGGATTGTGTTTTTTCAAATTTAAATGGATGGGAAGATATGGGTGAGGAAATAGGACATGAGGTGGAAATAATATCACTATAATATTAATGCTAACTTGGTGACATGGACAAAAGTGATAACGCCTAAATCAAAAATAACAAGGTCGCTTTCACCAAAAAAATAAGGCCACAAATGTTTAAATACGAGTTGAATCTGGATCCTCTACTTGATTTTTCTTTGCTTTAATCTGTTTGACTTTTAATCTGAATTTGTCACCTCATTAAAAAAAATCATCCAAAGACTAAAATGTTGATACTGGATATATTCTTTTTCTTAAAAAAATATGAAATTAATGATAAGAAGTTATTTTTTTTGTTGCTTTCTCAAGGAAAAATTGTTCCCAAAGAGTCTGACCCTTATTGGAGATTATGCAACTAGCAGAATGAGATAAGTACCCTTCCCCAAATCAAATTCTTCTTCTTTGGGGATCTCTATTCAAGTTTCTTGTTTGGTTTTTAAAATCAATAAGTTCTTATTAATGCATTCTTTTCTTCTTTCATTTTGATGCCTAAGAAGGCTTGATTGGAGACGTGTGGGTTAAATATGGTTTTCTTATGAATTGCATAGGCTATATGATGAAGAAGAATAAATTCATTTTGTATAAATAAAAAATAAATAAAAAAGGCCCAAAAGCGTAAAAAAGAAATGTGATCAAATAAATAATTTGTGGCATACATGGGTTTGGCCAATTGGCCAACAGTGCGTGCCCACCCCTTTGCAACCAAGTTTAGGCCCGTCCTGATAGAATAATAAGATATCATTTTGTAAATAAAAAAAAAACTTGCACTCATAGTAATGATAAAATGTTTTGCACAATACATTGAAGAAGCAAAATTTAGTTCCCATAACTTTGTTGCAAATTATTAAGTTTCAAACACCAAACTAGCCACTGCAATATAAAACAAAAGGAACAACAAAGAAAACAAGCTTAGAACACTACAATCATTTAAGGATGGTCATTAGCACAAGTTTCGGTAGAAAATTGGAGTGAGTTGATGGCGCCATTGTAGGTGACCCTCATATTTTGCTGATGCCATGCTCCTAGTATAGATTTCCCAGTTCCTGGCATCATTGCTACGCAAAAATAACCTGCCTGAGTATTATAGAAATTCACATACTTTGGATCAACAACATAATTACCACCTTCCAACTGGTATGTCAAGGAGGCAAATTGATTAAATTCTGGAGGATATTTGTAACATAATGGGAACCCTTCAGGCACTCTACCCAGCCTTTGAAGATGGAAAGAATCATAATGATTCTGAAATGCCCTCATCACCTCTCGGTACACGTTGCGTCCATTAACGAGATTTTGATCAAGTTGGGAGATTAGGGCACCGGAGTCGATGAAGAAACCACCGGATAAACCTATCCTAGCCGTAAAGGTGCCCGGCGGAAACATTAACGGGCGCATTCCAACACTTATGTCCAACAGATTTAAGTGGTAATAATGTGATCCTCCTGGTGTGACAAATGGACTTGTGTAAACATTTGAAGATGG